TGAAAGACCCATCAAGCAAACGACAAAACACCCCATTATTTTCAAAGGATTTAACCCAAAACTCGTTTGTTGATCAGAGTATGGTGATGGTGTTGAAATTAGGATGGGGGGAGAGAGAGAGAAGGACAATTTATGTGCATAAAACAAATGGTATTTTTGTCATTTAAGAGAACTTAACATAATCTTCTAACAAAGTTAGTCAGAAGGATCTTTTGTGTGTAATGTTTGCTCCTTAGGGACCATTTTAGAGAAAAAAGTTTCGTAATGACTATTTTAAGGAAAAACGGAAAAGCTAAAGGACCAATCTTGTAATTTACTCTTTATTATTTTAAAACGACCACTTTTGTCACTTTACAAATAAGAAATGAAAAGAAATATCGATGTGACTTTAGGTACAATAGCACAAACATGATAAACAAACATGATAAATGTTGTAATGTTACGCGGAAAGCTTCTAGAAGAACAAACTTAAAATAAATATATATTTTCTAAAATTTCAATAAAATGGTATGCTTTAAACAAAATCTACATAGGTGAATTAGTGAATACAAAGACGTTTCAAAGGTTTTTGTGTAATTATCAAGCTTTTTTTGTGTATCGATTTAAAAAAAATGACATATTATCCAACTGTTGAAACTTGTATTATTAAGACCACGTGACAACTCTTTTAGAATGCTTAATTTTTAAATAATCATTTATAATGACTATTTTTTTTTTGGAAAATATATGCAATTTCAAAACTCATGACATATTAAATGCGGATTAACGCGTAAAAAGTAAACTCGTGAAAACTAAAGAGATTATAGACTTAAAATTTATATTTGTAAATTTTAAAAAATAACATCTGTAGAAATTTAGAAAAATTATAACTCTAAAAGTAGACACAATAAATAGAAAATATATGACATGTATCTTCTGAAACAAAGCGTATATCTTGATACATGTTTAGTTAGCATTGTGCTTGATTTACATGTCTATTGCCCCAAACCACAAACAAAACACCGAGAAATCCATTGTATTTGTAGCCAAATATCGATTTGTCTGTAATAATGCAATGCACAAGCAACATCCAAAACCCAACTACCCAAGGCCGACACTCAATGACCATGAGGCTAGTCTATGGGTTGAAATATTCATATGCTTAAATGATTTAGATGTATGGATGATTCAGAAGTTATAAATGAATTTGTCTTTGAATAAAACATGTTGTTTGGTTAGACTTTTAAATGACTGTATTGAATGATAAAAATGATCATTTTAACATTTTGAATTATATTTTATCAAATAAAATGTTCATGTTTGATAAATTATTTGAACTAGTTTGCTTAATAATTATAAAACATAATGCAAAATCAAAATTAAACATAATAAAAATGTTATTTAACACAATAATACATATTTATATTGATGAGTAAATAATAATAATTTTTGTTGATGGTATCAAAATTAAATTTGAAATTTTAGATGTATTGTTAGTACCCTAAAACAAACTTTTTAGTAAAATAATAAAACATAAGCTAAAACTACATGACAACTATTTTTAAAAAATTATTTAATGTCAAGAAAGATAAAATACTACATATGTAGAGATTTTGTCACATATAAAAATCATAACATAGTAAATAAACCAATAATATATTATTTTTATGCAATTTATCAATTAACAAACAACCATAAAAATATATGAAATTTTCTAGCCTTGCTATGACAAAGTTTCCACTTTACCCTTCTTTTGTCTCTGTACTCGTTTTCTCTCAATTGGATGAAGAAACCAAGTTGCATCTTCATCGTCAGCTTTATTTTTATCATATTCATCTTCATAATGATCCCCAACCTTCAATAATTCTTTTGGTTCTACCGACCCATCTTAATCTTTTTTGGTGTCGTTGGTGGGTGTAGTGTGCAACAACCGATGAGAATTTGGACTAAAATTAAGAGGGGATGAACTCACACATTCAACAAGAAAAAAAAAACTACATTTGCATGATGAAAAATAAAATAAAGAGCAAATTCGGATTTGAGGGTAAGAAAGTAACTCCATTACAATTAAATGCTTCGGAGATTCCACCCTTCATATCACCGAATTAGAGGCGTTTTTTCATAGCAAACATTGTGAATGGTTGAGATCCAATAAGTCCTCTTAACTGAATGATTATGATGCTACCAAAAAGCCTTTTAGTAATATTATTGAATATTTTCATGTCCTGAAAAAAGAGACTTAATAATGAATCCAATTGTCACAATGAAAGAATAAATTTGATAATGGACCCAACTTGCAAATGGGTTCATCATATATTTAATATTTTAATAAAAAAAGTCATTTTTTTAATTGTTTATTTGATCGCGACTTAAGTATTGTTTGTACCATCTTTTGCTGAAGACAAAACTGCACAAATGTCACTGTGGTTAGCTCAAAATGGCCACTTTGGTCCAAAAAGGTTTGGACTAGCACCAGAGGTCCAAACTTTTCATTTTGTTGCGAGTTTGGTCCGTTTTGCTTTGAACTTTTTTAAAATGACGATGTTGCCCTTACTTTTTCCTTTTTCAGTTTTTTATTAATTTTATTAATTTCTTTATTAAAATAAATAAAAAGAAAATTGAAACTAATCTCTCTCTCTCTCTCTCTCTCTCTCTCTCTCTCTACACGTACCCATCTTCTTCTTCTTCTTCCTGAAAATCAGTCCAGATGAACAAAAAAATACCCATAACAAATTGTTGAACGCTTCGGTTATCAATGGAGATGGAGAAAACAGAAAGAGAAATCATATCTGGGGTTAGTCTTCTCCATCTGTCTTTAGAGATGTTCGTCTTCTCCATCTGTTTCTAGATCTGTTTGTGTTCTCCATCATAGTCAGGATCGGCTTGACTGTCCTACCACTACTAAAGAAGTCGTCGATGAAGATTTACAAACACCCCTGAAGCAGCACCTCCGCCAAACACCACCTGTAACCTCCGCCAAACACCACATGTAACATCCATCTTTATTCTTATAACATCACCTTCATCTCCTTATTACCCCCACCTGGAATGCACATCAGTTTTTGAACACCTCTTACCGTCGAGCCTCCAACAATCATTTGTAGATCTGGAAACCCTAACACCATCTTTCATAGCCGTCGTCGTTGGTAGCATGTCTAGAACATCGCTATCGTCAGTGAGACCAACAACGACGGTGATGACGATGGTAGAAGAAGTCGAAAAAACAAAGGTCGTTTGGGAAGGAGGTTTCAGATATGAAAAACCACCGAAGCTATCCTACTCCGGCTCGATCTGTTGAAGCTTGGTCGTATGAAGACGAAGGGCGGAATCATATTTTCATAGGTTGTTCTTGGTAGCGTCCGTCACTGGTGTCCTCACCACTTACCTCATCATCACCTTCTAGAGGCGGGTTTGCGAACCTACGACGCATCTAAAAGATGGGTTTAAAGGGTTTGCGTTTCTGAGACAAACAGTGAGAAAGGTTAGCAGATTTGAAAGAAAGGTAGAGAAGGGCGGCGATCTGAGAACACCATTCTCTTTCACCGGAGCTAGGGTTTTGGCGGTGGCTTCCTACGTTGGGAAGAAGATGAAGATTCGTTTTTCAGATTGTAATTTGAGTTTTTAGATCCAGTATTGGAAAAGATGAAAAGAAAAGTGTTGGGGAAGGTTAGAGAGAGAGAGAGAGAGAGAGAGACTTAATTGTATTTCTTTTTTAATTAAAAAAGTAATGGAGGAAATAAAAAAGAAAATAAAAAAACAAATAACAAGGGCAAAAAAGTCATTTTAACCTCTTTCACTTTTAAAACGGACCAAACTCGCAACAAAATGAAAAGTTTGGACCTCTAGTGCTAGTCCAAACCTTTTTGGATTAAAGTGGCAATTTTGAGCTAACCACAGGGACCATTTGTGCAGTTTTGTCTTTGCTGAAAGAACCAAATAAAAACCCACAAATTTTATAGTTTTGTTTTTTAAATATTAATCTACCTCTTCTAATAAATGAAACCTAAAAATGACACGTGTCAGTTTTTTAAAATGTTTTTTTTTTACACGTGGCATTTTTCTATGATTTTTTTTTCTTTTTTTTTGGTAACAAATCAAATTCAATTTAAATTTTGAAAATACAAAACTATATCTTAATAACATTATTATGTTTATTTTGTTTAACAAATTAATTCATAATTACTTACAATCGATAATATCTTGGTTTTTCTTTGACATTTATTATTTTTTTATCTATATAAAATTTTAAATATACTGACCGTGGTTTCCACGGGTTATAACCTAGTTTTTTTAATATACACCGGACACTTGGACCTATTAGTTATGTTATGGTTCTGCCACTTCATAGCAACTCGATAATTTTTGCATACCTTGCACAAAGCATTCATCGTGTTCTTTGTTTTATGTTTTCAACTTTTTGGTTCTCATGAATATTTGACGCTCGATTGTATTTTATGAGGATAATATAAGTTGAATTAGTAGTTTTTTTGTTGCATTTATGCTGAGAATTGGACCAAAAAGGGGTAGAAGTAGCCTCCTCTGCCCCTACCTCCGAATTCCACGTTTTCTTGCATCTGTTCCTGACCCCGAATTATCTCGTTTCCTAATCCTCTGCCTCCAAATTTTAAGGTCACCCTTGCTCCACCCTCCCCCTATTTCCTTGAATCCCCCGTTTAACCTTCTTTATTTTTCACTCGTAATTTCATTTTATCTTACATACACTAGCTATTCAATACAAAACATATATTAGATAATGACTACTTTACGATTTTTTTTTAATAAATAAAAATAATTAAATAAAAGGTAATTATTTCGAGTCTCCATGCACCAATTTTTTTTTTTTTTTCTTCCAACTTTCACTCATTTCCTTTTATTTCCTGAGGGACATGATATCAGTAAACGAGGGTAAAACCCTTAAACCCGAAAATGATACTAAAAATGCGAAAACGGGTCCCACGGTTTTTAAGTTTTTTACTCTAATTGGGTTCTTTTTGGATGCAAAGGTATTTCTCAACACTTGTATACGTTTTCTAACATACGAGTTTCATTACTTTCATGGCCATCTGCTATCCACGTTTCTGTTAAGAATGAACCGGCCGGTTCATTCTTCCCTCTTAAACCTCGCCGCTTCAGATTCTAAACCCTAGCAGCAGATAACACACACAAATCGAAGAAATGTTGGAGAGTAGACTGATTACGATTATCAGGAGAAGCAAATCTATCAATCAAATAAGATCGTCGTTTTCTTCTCACGGCGGATCGACGAATCTTCATAGTCGATTCGCGTTAGATCGTTATTCAACCCATAAGCATGTTGCTAATCCCACCACCAGAAGCTGTCTCATCAATGGCTTTCGATCCTTGCACAATCTTCACAAGGTATTATCAACTGCAATAAACTGAATATTGTTGTTGATCAAATCGACGAAATATACTATTACGATCCTTAAATTTCATCAGACTTCTACTGATTATTTCTTGATACCGTAATATTGAACTTTGATGTTGTGATTTTTCAATTATAAGATGAATTCGTGGTTTTAAGGTGAAGTTTGGAAACAAAACCTTTTTGTTTTGATTGAGCTTCTTGTTGTATGGATCAGTTAAACATACCAATCGGAAGTATATTTGTTTAATTATAAGTTAATTATCATACAGAAGATGTATGGATGCTAAAATTCTTCACTCTGATCTCTTTGTCAGTATAGATATGCCATGTTGTACATAATGCTATCTCATTCAGTGAGAACTCGGCTATTGATTATCTTCTTTTGTAAGAATTCATTTTCCTATATGATCATCAGCTCATATTTTTGTTTTTTTGTATATATCAGGGTACCTACAAGCCATCTTTCAGGCATATATCTACTGTAGCCGCAAGTGCTTGCAAGGAAAATAAGGAGACAGTGAAGCTCCTTGTTACTGCTGGACCTCATGCTCAAAAAGCAATAGGAATATGGCTTTTTGCATCTGCTGCATGGGTCTTCAGTATGGTTATCCTCGGTGGTATCACAAGACTCACTCGATCCGGTCTTTCAATGACAGACTGGAAATTCACTGGCAGCCTTCCTCCTTTATCAGATGAAGATTGGTTGATTGAGTTTGAGAAATATAAACAATCCCCTGAGTTCAAGCGGTTAGTTTAATCATCAGTACGTGTACCTTTCTTCACATTCATCAGTCTCCAACATTCTTTTATTGTAATTTGCAATTGCATTGTTGATACATCTTTCTGAATCGTCGTTCCAGAAAGATCACTATATAAATGCTAAAGTAAAGTTTGCAAATTTGATGTTGCTCCAATTGAGAGTGTGATTAAGGAGTACTCAATATTTTGCTACATTTATTAGATAAGAGAAGAGGAGCTACTGAATCAAATGTATACTGACCCGACCCCACATGATTTTAACCACTTGCAGTGTGAACAGAGGAATGAATATTGATGATTTTAAGTTCATTTATTGGATGGAATACGCGCATCGTATGTGGGGAAGAGCATTGGGGATCATGTTTGCTCTCCCATTTTCGTATTTTCTACGAAAAGGTTATATAAATCTACGGCTTGGAGTTAGGCTTGCTGGTTTATTTGCTCTTGGTGGTGGGCAAGGGATGATTGGTTGGTGGATGGTTAAAAGTGGTTTAGAAGTTAGTATCATCTTTCTTTTTCTATCTTTATGAAATTCATAAATACAAAGCTAGTCAAAACTCATTGTTTGACTTTTTTTTTTTTTCATCAGGAGCCACCTTCAGAGTACTCACAACCAAGAGTAAGCCCATATCGTCTTGCTGCTCATTTGACTTCAGCTTTTGCTATTTACTGTGGACTTTTCTGGACTGCTCTTTCTGTTGTCATGCCTGAACCTCCTACCGAGTCAAAGGCTTGGGTCAACGGGGCTGCAAAAGTCAAAAGATTGGCTCTTCCGCTTGGGATTCTTGTTGGTGTAACCGCGGTTTCAGGAGCTTTTGTTGCAGGAAACGATGCGGTATGTGACTAAATCTCTTGAAAGTATTACGTAAATGCCCTTTTCTGATTTTGTTTTATGTTAAAATTTGTCAAGGGACATGCGTTTAATACGTTTCCAAAGATGGGGGATTCGTGGATTCCGGAAGATGTTTTGAGTATGAAGCCGGTCATCCGCAACTTCTTTGAGAACACAGCAACTGTGCAGGTAGATAGGTAGCTTTGTAATTGGATTCTCATGGAATTGGAATTCGAGATTCCATTTCAGTTCGTAGCTTCAAATTATGTGTTTGATGGATTTGATTTGATTTCTTGACAACTAAATGCATGACATTATGATTTCTTCAGATTCCATTTCTTCTTAAAACATCCTGCAAACCAAAATACTTTATTTAATATTCTTGTTTTCTACGTACAGCTTGATCATCGTATACTTGCAACTACAACCCTAGCGGCAATTGGTGGGTTATGGTGGTCAACGAGGAAGGTTGACTTACATCCTGCTATCCGTTCATTAATTGGAAGTACCATGGGAATGGCTGCTCTCCAGGTAAGTACATACTGTCGATAAACTTGTACTCTTAGGGTCTTAAATGTAATTTAATAAAGTGATTTTTGTTTTATATATAATTTGCAGGTAACTTTGGGAATATCGACTCTTTTGTCTTATGTGCCGGTTTCACTTGGCACGGCCCACCAAGCTGGGGCGTTGACTCTGTTGACTTTTATGCTTCTTTTGAATCACACTGTTCGGCGACCATCACCTATGCTTTTGAAATCACTGCCTGCTGTTGTTAAGACAAGCTAAGGTTGGGGGGTTTTTTCACCCTTTTGACATTCATTTTGAGATGTTTTTTTTTTTGTTAGGTGTTATAGAATGCAATGCATAAGCTTATTTATTTACCCATAAGTGTCTTCATTGGGTATGCTAATGTAAACAATAGGTATAACAGGTTTGTTATGTATTTCCTGTTGCCAGTGGCTATTTGACGAATTGGAATTCTAGAATGAATTTAGTCCTTTGTGGGAAATTCAACATTATACAAATTCCAGGATAAAAGTTTGTTAATTCTAAAAGTTTCATGTCTTCATTTTAATGCTTTAATGTATTTTTTATTAGATCTAGTATTTTGATCCAATACATACAAGAACAAAGGATATGCCCAAGGTGGCAGCATTTATGGAGGTATCGAGCTTTTTAAGTCTTAACTTTGGGAGGGTATTGGAAGTCGATTGAGCCATGGAATGTTCATATCAGAAAACCTTTTTGGCTTCATGTTTCGGCGTTCAATGACTGAGGATATTCACATAGATAAATAATTAGGATTTGTGTATGTTGTTCATCGACCTTGAGGATGCTTATGGAAGTGTGCATCGAGAGAGGATTTTAAGATTTCTAGAAGATCCAAAGGTAGGGTGTTAAATTGGACAATCGTGTCGTGTTTTTATCTTACAGACACAACAATGTTCTATATCACACAAAAACGACACGTCATGACATAATCGTGTTTTTTTCCTGGCACGATAACAATCATAATAAAAACATGAAAAGCACAACAAAGTAACACAAAATAATCATTAGTTTATTTAATTCATACACATAAAACACAACAAATACATGCTAGAATTTTGAACGTCAACATGACGTCGTGTTTTTTACGCTAGACATGAAAACGAATTCGATTTTCAATTTTATTCTTGTTGTGTATTTTTGTCGTGTTGTGTCATCGATTGACACCACTATTGAGGGGTGTCGGAGAGTTATGTTACATCTCACGATATGCATTTGAGGTCATCAATCTTTGTTCGAACTTCTGTACGAGACTATAAGAGAATATGACTTGATCAAAGATTTGCACTTCTTAAATACAATCACTTTTGATTATGGATGAAATATACCATGAGATTTGGGGCGAGATGCTCTGGTTTTTTTTTTTTTTTTTTTTTGTTGATGATATTATGCGGGTAGCTAAGATGAGAATGGAACTGGCATACGTTATTTTTCTGGTGATATTATGTTGGTAGCCGAGACAAGGATAAAACCAAATGTTGTGATGGATATTTGGTGATGGATATTTGGGGGACGGCTGAGAAGAAAAGAGAGTTAAGTGTAATACATATAAGACTGAAGATTTTTGGTGCAATAGAGCGAGGAGCTTAAGGATTAGAGAGTAGAGTTCTACAATAAGAGTAAAATGTATCTTTCAAAGGATACTTTAGGACTATGATCCACAGATGGATACAGAGGATACATCAACCCCATATAAAGTCAGGATTGTTGAAGCGTAGGCTAAAATAAGTCGCCTTACAGCATGAACGATTCTACAATATGATAAGACATATGATAGGAAAATGAAACTTGCATAAATAAAGATGCTACAGTGGACTTACCGTGAACAAGGTTACAAAGTACCGACTGAAATTGATTGGAAGTGACATCAATCACCAAAAAAAAAAAACAAGAATGAAGATAATGGGGACTTGCATATCGTTAGATTAAATTACAATCGTCGTATTTAAGGTATTTAATTTCAAGTCCCTAGTTTTTGGAAGCATTCCATTCCCCATAAGCATGTTTCTTTTTATAAAAAGAAATTAAGATTACATCGAAGGTATGCGAATCACATTGTACCAAGTGCATTTCATGGTGTAATAGTTGGGACATTAAGTTCTAAATAGTAAATATACATCATCAATAAAAGTAAAGATCTTGCAAGTGTACTACTAGATAATATTATAGATATCGTTTAAGATTAGAGGTGTTGATGAAAATACAAAATCTTCCGCATAGCTCAAGACTAACATATAACATAGATAGAAAAACATGATTAACGTCCACGACCACGTCCACGCCCGCGGCCCCGCCCTCTTCCACGTCCCACAGGCCGCCCTGCATTACATGTCAAAAATCTCAAACCGTTAGAGCAAAAGACATTACTGTGTTTGATGTGCATTGGACTAAGACTGACACCGATGTCAAAAGGACAAAAAAGTAGGGCTTTTCACTTTTTTCTTTTTTGTCCACCCAACAAGACTACAAACCTGCAGTGGGCTTCTTGGGCTTGACTCTAGGTGTCTCTTCCACTAGCAATGTCTCCAGATTCAAGCTGTCGGGAAGTATATAGTAACGAATATTATTGCCTCTAACACTCAAATGGTCAAGGGTTACTGGATTTTTCCCTTTCAGTGTCAACTTCACCGTCTTCAAGTGTGTGTTCATGCTAATATCAACACCTACATACATTACACCCATCCAATTTTACAAAAACAAAATACAGATAACGTCCTAGTAAAGAAAAAGACCCCTTGCAATGCATAATGTTCTCTTTTTTTTTTTTTTTTGTCAATTTATTAAAAGGGTTTGCAACAAAAATTCAACAGTTCATCTACATAGACAAAAAACATGTCTACAATAAGATATTCACAGGCAGCTTAAGCACGATTTCAACTTATTTAGGCTGCAAAATATGCAACAAGTGAAAATGTGTCCATTGGTCTCAAAGGTCTTGGAGGCATACCCAATATAAGATTCGTATTTGAGACTCTGGATACAGAGGGTTTCATTTTGTTTTACTAATATAATGCTCTAATGTGCTTCAGAATTTATAAAAAAAAAACTAGCATGGGTGCAAAGTGCCTGATCATAACGAACAAACATGTCCCCTTAACAAGGAACTGTAGTGTAGCAGGGTTTAGAAAAACCCTGGTTACTCGCACATTTGGGACTACCAAAAACAACATAAGAAGAGAAATAATATGAAGAATTAGTTACCTGTTATGGTTCCATGTACAACTGTGCCATTCTTGAGCTCTATCGAGACAGTTTCGTTGTTCAACTTCATCAAAAACCTAGAGTTTTACACGCAAAGAAGAAAGAGAAGTGAAAACGTCATCCCAGTAACTTTGCGAACCATAGAAATTAATCGAGAAATCAGAAACCAAGCAAAAACTAAGACAGGATTAATAGGAAAATCAGACCTGACGAGCTTCATTGTCGCGAATCGCAGGAGGAGAAGCTAGGGTTCCAAAAATTATCCAATTTTCGGGGGAAGCGGGAGATCTAAAACGTAGTCTTATAATTTTCGCCGTTGGAAAAGCATGTAACACGGTGTCGTTTCTAATGGGCTTAATTACATACCTTCCTTTCCGGGTTCACTATGGGCTCGTTTCGGCCATTGATGGACTCTCGAAGTAATGCACAATCTTGCACATTGAACAACACTCTCGCTGAAATAAAAATAAATAGCAGTTTAAAAAAGAGAATAACAGTTTGACAAAGTTAAGTGCATGTTGCCTGTTTATTAATTTATATAAAAAAAATAATTGTCCATACAAAGTGTTGATGTGATTGTCTGATTGATCATTTTTTAATACGTAATAATCAAAATACATTGTATTACTATAATACAATGATAAAATTATTGAGTTATTCACAAAAATATCCGAGTTTTATATCTCCATGAAATCATTTGTTTTCCAAACTTTACCAAAAGACCACATCCTTAGTTAAAATTCGCTTATAGGTTAGCAAGGATTTTTTGAAATGACATAAAACAAATCAATAATCTTTACAGATATTATATAAATCTTTATGTAAATAGTTTAAAATAGTTTGTCTCAGATAACAATATTTACCAAATAACAATATTTACCAAATAACAATATGCTTGTGGTTAGTTAGTTCGTTTTGTTTGTTTGTTTACTCATGTATGGCTTATGGTTCAGATAATTGTAATCTTCAAATTCATACCACTACCACGCTTACTAAAATAATATTCTCTAAGAAATTAATTTTATTGAATAAATATTTTTGCAACTACTTATCTTTTGCACGTTACTCCGATGAATAAAACTATCTTTGCAACTACTTATGTTTTGCAAGTTTCTCCAAGAAACGTTCAATGCATACATAATGTATATCGCTAAAGAATAATGAAGTTGTATATAAAACAAGACATTATTTGTGATAAATACGTACAATTATATTTGTAACCCTAATCTCCTTTCCTGCGCCACCAACCCCCTTCCTATTTTGTTCCTAATAATTGTTCATTTGGATGTTACGATCCCTCAAAGCTTTTATACATGCATGTGCTTCTTGTACTAACATAATTTCTTTTGGAGATCGACCCAAAAACTTTAGAAAAATATACCATCTACATAGATACTTGTGAGGGAAATTTATGATGTAACACCCATAAAATTCAAGTCAATTTAAAACTTTTTAAAACATTTAAACCATTAAGTTATTACAGTTTGTTTTCAAAATAGTTTAATCATCAGAGTATCCCCATAATCAAATCATAAAATAATGAGATATGAGGAGCTGTACGATCACGCATTCACCTTCCTGCGATCATCAGAGGTACCTGAAACATAATCAACAACTGTAAGCCCGAAGCTTAGTGAGTTACCCCCAAAATACCAACGCCATACAGATATAACCAAATCATATAGCAAATACAAAACAACATGCATAATGAGCATTCAGCCTGACTGGACCGCCTCGCAGGGCTTACAGCCTATTTGGACCGTTCCCGAGCCTTCGGCCTGATTGGACCGCCTCGCAGGGCCTACAGCCTATCCGGACCGCTCACCGGGTATGTTGGCCTACAGCACAAAGCAGGACCGCCTCAACCCAACCTCCAATCAAACAAACATGTGCACATAAATATCATACGCTAGCACATATCATATAACAGTCAAACCGATCTAATAAATCACTAATCATTGCAACATCCCAATAACCGGGATACAGACCTAACCGGTCACTAACATAGCATCATCCTATAACCAGGATAATCATATACACATAGATATCATATATATATATATATATATATATATATATATATATATATATATATATATATATATATATATATATATATATATATATATATAACAGTCAAACCGATCTAACAGATCACAAAGCATAGCAACAATCCATAACCACGATATCGACCTAACAGGTCACTGCCATAGCATCATTTTATATACCAGGATACCGACCCAATCGGGTCACTAA